CATCTCCACCATCATCAGCTCCACCATCACCATCTCCACCACCACCATCACCACCATCACCATCTCCACCATCACCATCACCACTACCATCATCACCACCATTATCTCTACCACGACCATCGGCATTATCACCCCCCACTCCAGCCTCCATCACCACCTCCACCACCACCACCACCACTATTTGCCATAGCTGCCACTTTTGCCATCATTGTCACTACCATCACCTCCATCACTACCGCCATCACCACTGCCACCAATGGCACCACCACCACTAACAACACCGTCACCGCCCTCACTCCACATGTGGACAAGACTTCATAGCAAAGTTTTCCAAACTGCACCTGCAAAGCCCTCAGACTCTGATGAACCCCTGAAGGGTGGAGCAGAATTGGGGTATGAAGGGCACTAAGCACATGGGGCTCTGGGCTCATCCTCCTTCCACTTGTGCATCCATCTCAGGCACCCTCATTATTTGCCTTGCATTTTAGGGTTCCTCACAAAATTCCACCTGAAGAGTTCTAGACTTTAAAAACAATTTTAAATTATGGCACACAGAAACACAGATTTGTTTATCATGAGAGAGCCGGGTCACCTTGGGTGGTGGTGGGGAGAAGACAGGACTCCATGGTCTTAGGCTGGCATCAGACAAGGCAGCTGGAGGAAGTGAAAGGGGACGAGAAAACCAGAAGGCAGCAAGGTCAAACACTGCTTTTGTTTCCAGGGTATATTCTGGGTGAGATTAGGTTAATCTGAGTTTAGGAAGAACAGCTGGGGAGGCTGGGAAGTCTTCCTGCAGACTCAGTGTGATGACAAAAATTTTCTTCCAGTCTGTAGCCCATTGCCCCATCACTCCACTTGATGCCAGGCCAAGGCAGGCTTTTCTGGGAGGGTTTCTCTGTTGGCACTCCCTTCTGGCACATCTTATCTTTGGGGTCAGTGGCGTGAGTCTTCTCTCTTTTGGAGAGTAAGTGTTGGAGAGCCTTATTGGATAATTCCTTCCCTTGAAATTTTACTTTCTGGGGGGAAAATATATACTCCCATTAGACATGAAACATGTTTTTTTTCTTTTTTTTTAAATCCAGCACAGAAACAGATCTGAGGCTTACAAATAGTCTCAGCACGGATGACAAATCCTTCATTATTACCCAACAATTATTTCTTGCACTGCTGTGTCAGACATGGAAACTCGGGGAGGCCAGGTTGGCATTCCTCACATTCCTGACGCTAGCTGAAGTTTTCTTTCTTTTTCTGCTCTGAGGAGCAGCTAGATGCGCATAGGGTGAGGATGGGGAAGTAGAGGCAAGAGAGGGATATATAATGGAGAGAACCAGGCTTCAAAGCCTGCTTCTGGGGTATGAGCTCACATGCCTGCAGGCAGGTGGGTAGTGGTTGTGAGCACCTCCGAGGGCTAACTGTGAGGCAGAGGGAACTAGGGGAATGAAGAGCTCATGCCCATCTCAGTGGAAAAAAACCACTCAGCTCCAGTTAGTCTTTGCCACAGGAAAATGAGGCCTATTGTTGTCAGATTTTCTGCAAAAGCTAGAATCAGAATTTTTAAAGTGCAAAAATGCCTGATTTTAAGACCAGCTGTAAATTGACCACTTACAACTTTTAAAAAATTATCGTACTGTGCAGGTCAAATGAGCACATTTGGGAATAGTATCTGACCTCCAGATATCTGGTTGGCTTTCTTTGTTGAAGGATTTCTCATCTCCAAGTGAAGGAGCAGAAAACATGTCAGAGTATCTATGTCTAAAGAGGATTTGGTTGGTGAAGATCTATTTTTCCCACTAGCAAACCTTAAAGAATCTGTCGAGGAGCAGCCCTGGTCTGACAAGGTTTTGAAGGGCGAATGTTCAAGCCCTTTTCCCCAGAGGCAGAAAGCAATTTGTGTTCAGACTATAGGCTGTGAGCTGGGGGCACCTGTATTTTACTCGTCACCAATGCTAATTGCCCCTGCCCCAGTCACCTGTTAACTACCTGTAAAATTAGAGAAATGGGTTGGGTGTGGGCATTTCAGGATTTGTGTGTATCCGTGTGTGTTTAATATTCTTACTCAAAACTCAAAGGCCAGAGAATGAAGCAAATGAGTGAAGAGCTTCTGCAGCTGAGGCGTGGGGGGGGAGAGAGCGCAGGAAGGGTCTGCAGCTTCAAACTGCCTCCCCTCAAGGGCTATGGACAGGCTTGTCAGTCCCTGGCCTCTCTCTTCCAGAATCTTCACTGTGAGTCCATTTTTCCTCATGCTCTTCCAAGAGCCAAGCTTTTGGGGACAAAATGTGGGCAGATGCCTTTAAAAAACAGGACTCAGCCAGGGCAGGTTCTCACTTAAAAAGTAGAGTGAAAAATCCAGACCTCGAGGCAAATCATCTCCAAAGGTAAAGCATATTTTTCTGGTGAGTTCCCACTTCCGGTAAGCAGAGAAATACAGCCTAAGAAAACATGCAAGAATGGGAGACAGGGTCTTGAAGGAGGCACGGGTCCAGGT